GGGATCACTCTGGCAACCCAGTGCTCTGGGTTTGGGGCTCCGACAGTTGAGAGGCCAGGTGAACTCGAGTAGTATTGTAGGGACCTTATATACTATCATTCTAATAATTATATACTATCATTTTAATAATCATATACTATCATTTTGATAATCATATACTATCATTTTAATAATTATATACCATCATTTTAATAATTATACACTATCATTTAATTTTTTTATACTATCATTTTAATAAGGGGCCCCCAAAAAACAGTATGGGCAATTATTTAGGCCTCTGTAGTAAGCATCTCTGGACATGCATCATAGTATCGGGACCTGAAGAAGACTTGTGGTTGCCAGGCATCGGGCATAGCTTGTGCGTGTCTTCCGACGTGGAGTGCAGGGCATGCTCGTGTTTCAAACCCAAGCAAACACCCCATGTGTCGGGGTCGTGCCTCTGAAAGAAACTTTAACTTGTTGACATTCGAGTCCAAGTTGCGCTACTGCCAAGTTCCACTCCAGCTCAGAAGCAGAACCTGGGTTCGAATAGCAAACACCAAGCTTCCATCGCGACATCTTAAGAAGCCTGGTTCTGCTGGTGCAGGCACTCAGAGAATCTCTGCACGACTCTACGATCATTGCCAGAGCTCCGTCACGCAGGACAAACGACAACAACAGGATTCTCACTGTCCACGCGGGAATGGCTTACCAAAGCGCAGTGTCAGGAAGGCGTAGGAAGGCTTGCCCCTCCAAGCCCACATAATGTCATAGACTAAGAACAGTACCTTTGTCGTCATCCTAACTTGTGCAATCGGCCGCAGCAGTGGCTGAGCTCAGGCTTGTCAATTTTTTGCAGGTATACATCGTGAGCACTGGATGGAAGCTTAGGACGTGGGGTGGTCATGATGAGCGGCTTCTCACTTCAGAAAAAAACATCGTATAATCAACGACCCGTGGCTTAAACCATGCATGCAACACATTCTCTCCTGTGACCTTCATTTCGGCCATGCCACCCATGGCGACTTTCTTCTTGCTGCCCCAACTGAGCATGGCGTGCAGACCTGGATAAGACAGTAAATGGCAGCTTCTAAACAACGGAGAAACACCACAGGAAATCGCCACAGCGACAGCGACGACGACGAGGACAGCAACAGAGCAACTTTGCCGCATCGGCATCGCTGGGATCCATACTGTCATCAGCTTCTTAACACTGAGTGAGAAACTCATCATCGGTAAGTACCGTCATGATCATCGTCATCATCAGCAGCATTGGCACCGTCATCGCTCTCACCCTCGCCACCGCCGCCGCGACCGCCGCCACCACCACCACCACCACCACCACCATCATCACCGTCATCATCATCATCATCCTCGGCACCACCATCGCCATCATCGTCGCTATCCTCACCATCATCGTCATCATCATCATCATCATCATCATCGGGTCATTCTCGAACACGTGGTCTGGCCCCCTCTGACCTTGTCACATTAGCCTGAAAAACCTATCATATCGGTGTTCTCAAATGGCGAGGATTCCACTGCATGTGCCTTGTAATCAGCGGGCGGTGTAGAGCAAGAATCAGAGCTTTCGCTAGTCCTGAACTCATTATTCTAGAATGCCGCGACACCCTACACTGTGCAAGCTGATGTGCACCAAGTCCTGAATCCGAAAGTTTCAGATTGAAAGACCGAAGCCTTTTGATTCTCCCTCCCGGGTGCTGAGCAAGGCCAAGGATGATGGTTACTACGGTTGATGATATAAATCCTGCATGACCTTAAGGACCCTAAACTATGGGAATTATGGTATATTCCTTATTATGGGTCATGCAGGATTTATATCATCAACCGTAGTGCTACTAATACTAATATTGATACAAAAACAAAAATGTCTAGATACATACACTACAGCCCTGAGAGTAAGCTGTCCGAGTCGCATCCCTCCGAGGAGCCTGCAAGATTGGGATCTGCCTTCGCCTGCTTGCGGTTTAGGACAGGGCTCCTTTAAAGGAGTCTATAAGGGATCTTTAGGGGTTACTATAAGGGATAGGGTTTAGGATTTAGGGTTTTGGGTTTAGGGTTGGGAACCTAGTTTCAGGTTGAAGGCTCAGGGATAAAAGCATTATTGGCTTCCGGGTGGTTGGTCACTGGAAGTCAATACGCCTACCCAAAGGCCCCAAAGTAGTTCCTTTTGGGGTTCATATATAGAATCCTATAAGGTAATGCCAAAAAGGAACTACTTTGTTTGGGGCCTCTTTGTTAAATCTCGACATGAAGCTCTGCTAGGACTTCTGGTAATCTGCTCCTACTGGCACTGCTACTACTCTGCTGCTGCTGCTGCTGCTACTGCTACGACAAATACGACGACGACGACGACGACTACTACTACTACTACTACTACTACTTCTAGAACCAGTACTACTGCTGCTACTACTACTACTACTACTACTACTACTACTACTACTACTAGGCCATCCCCCCCTGGTGCGACGCCGGTCGCTGAGTTCGTGGATGTACAACATGGAAGACAACCCGAACACAGGCTCAAAGAAATCCGGCCTAACATACAGATGAAGATGATCATGATGATGATGATGATGTTCATGATGATGCTATTCGAGATGGTGCTGACGAAAGTGATGATGAACATGATAATGCTGGATGCTGCTGATGTGCGGTTCTTGCGCCTCTACTCGTTATTGAACTAGTGAACCACAGAGTAAGCTGTTAGACAGCAGTGGAAAGTACCATCCCCGCTCGGTGCGATGCAAAGAAGCAACATTTCGAAAGGTTTTGGACATGGATGCTCTCCAAACCAAAATGCGCTAGACCATGGACGTCATTAGGTTTTGGACATGGATGCTCTCCAAACCAAAACGCGCTAGACCATGGACGTCATTAGGTTTTGGACATGGATGCTCTCCAAAGCAAAATGCGCTAGACCATGGACGTCATTAGGTTTTGGACATGGATCCTCTCCAAACCAAAACGCGCCAGACCATGGACGTCATTAGGTTTTGGACATGGATGCTCTCCAAACCAAAATGCGCTAGACCATGGACGTCATTAGATTTTGGACATGGATGCTCTCCAAACCAAAATGCGCTAGACCATGGACGTCATTAGGTTTTGGACATGGATGCTCTCCAAACCAAAATGCGCTAGACCATGGACGTCATTAGGTTTTGGACACGGATGCTCTCCAAACGAAAATGCGCTAGACCATGGACGTCATTAGGTTTTGGACATGGATGCTCTCCAAACCAACGATTTGAATGAAAGTCATGATCAAAATGAGGCCCAAAAAACCTTGATTCTGATCGCTAGGTTTTGGGCACGAAAATCGAGACACCCAAAAACAGTAAAAAAACATGAAATTCGCAAAGACAAGTGCGGTAAATACCAGCATTTTCGGGTGCGAGATTGATGAACAAGGTTAGAAAATATGATAAAAATACACACGAAACCAGGAACAGTTGCCACTTTCGATAACTGCGGAAAAAAAGTGCTGTAAAACACAGCATTTCCGACCACAGCAAGTCCCCAAAATAAGAGGTTTGGGCGTCGCACCGGGGGGGGATGCCTTAATACTACTACTCCTACTCCTACTGCTGCTGCTGCTGCTGCTGCTGCTGCTGCTGCTACGACTAATACGACGACGACGACGACTACTACTACTACTTCTAGAACCAGTAATGCTACTACTACTACTACTACTACTACTACTGCTGCTGCTGCTGCTGCTGCTACTCCTAGTCCTGTTCCTATGCTTGTTCTTACTCGTACTCCTACTCACTCCTAGTCCGACTTACTCGTACTCCTACTTCGATCGCTACTCCTGCTCCTACTTGGAGGATCAGGGGACTTAGTAAGTATGGTTATAAGTACCTTATTTGGGGTTATAAGTATAGTTTCCCTAGTGATAACCTTAGTTACTAAGTCCCATGATCCTTTAAGTACTGCTACGACTGCTACTCCGCCAGCGCCTTCAGCATCCTCTCTGCGTGACTTGGGTCAGCGTTGCAGATGCTCGTCATTGCCAGGGCCGTGGCTCCGACGTAGCAGAATCTCAGAGCTCTTTGAATGTCACAGTTTTAGGATGTTTGGGGAATCTCAGGCTCTCACGAATCTCCGGGTTCCAGTTATAGTCTGATGGTAATCAGTGTTGGGTCTACCAGAGAAGTTCATGGTTACTTATAACTGGGCTTATATATAAGCTAACTTTAGATATTGATATACCACATATTCTGGACTTTATAACCCCACTTGTAACTATGCATGAACCTCCAAGTACTGGGCAGATCAGGTGCCTAGTGTTCCAGATGCTGCTTGAAACAGGCGCAGGAGTTACATAGTGGGTGGTGATCTGAACGAAATGGTATGTTGTCCGAGTTTGTTGATAAGCCACTGTACGGTTTATCGAACTCTTCGTACTGGCTGATAGCATTTTTTGCTTTCCGTGCCTTTAATTGGCGACATCCAGATATGCTGTCAGTTCCCACTGCTTACTTGTACGTTGCGGTTTGAGGCCTTCTGGAATCTATTCATAGTTCTCAAGTCAGAGAGTTCAAAATTATTAGTTTGGGCTTACATTTCTCCGCATAATGTGCGCAATGTATTTCAAGGTCGAAGTTCGACTTGCTCCAAGCATGACTGTCTGAGGCGGCCTTCCGGAAATCACAAAGATTCATCTGGGACTTCTACTACGGCCGTAACAAAGGAAGTGAACAACCCGAGCCTCGGAAAAAAAACTGAAGATGGGGAGAGGGGCCCTTGACACAAAACTGAATCCCCAAAACTCCAAACCCTAAACCCCAAAATGACATCTGAGCTGCGCATCCGGATCGACCCCATAGTCCAGCAGGATTTGAGTTACCCATGGGTTCGGCGAGAAGGCGCCCACGTGGAGAGGGTTGCTACCTTCGTCATCACAGACGTCGATCGGAGCATCATGGGCCAAAAGCACCTTCAGGGCTCAAGGGTTTAGGGTTCAGGGGTTTAGGGGTTTAGAGGTTTAGGTGTTAGGGTTTAAGAGCATCATGGGCCAAAAGCACCTTCATGGCCGGGGCATTGCCGAAGTATCCAGCAATGGAGAGGACAGAGGAGTTGTTCATGTTCTTGACTAGATCCTGGGCTTAGATCCTCTTAAGCCCAATAAGAGAAAATATAAAATGTCCCAAAGACCTACCTAGTTTTAAGTAACCAGGGAGAAAAAGTATACACGTTCATTTAATAATGGTTCCCTGAAGAAAATGAGTATTAAAGTATGGTACTCCAAAGCCTAGGATCCATTGATGCCCCCCAATTCAGAAGCTTCTTCACAGCCTCCGGAGTCGATAGCATGGAAGCCATGGACAAGGCGCTGTGGCGACCATCGATGTGAGCATCCGGCATGTTCCAAGGGATAACCTGATTTACGTCTGCCTGCTTCTCCAGGAGCTGCGTCATGACATCCAAGTTGCCCTCGATGCTTGCCAAGATCAATGGTGTCAGGGCTGTGCCAAGACAGAAGCAGCTTGGTGTGTCCAGTTCGTATCTGTTTAAGAACTCTGGGAGACTTTCGCCGAACTGACAGCCTTGGAAACCTCGCGCTTTTGGCACGAGCGCGCTGTAGAAACGCCACTTCTCCTTGTCACCCTGCTCCCACAAGCTTTGACACTTCATGTCGATAAGCTGGCCTGTCACCTCCCGCACAACATGACGATCTGCATCCAAGGTGAAGGTGCCTGACAGAAGCAAAAAAAGAACTCCTGTTCAACGATACAATTCGTAGTAGTGGCGCCGGCAGCCGGAGCAGTCCCAGCAGTAGCATTACAGTGTCCTGAGCTTCAATTGCAGCTTTGCGTTGTTGTTGCCATTGGCGTTAGTAGTAGCAGTAGTGAGCATCAGTAGTATCAGTAGTAGTGCTAAAGTAATAGGCATATTAACAAAAATAGGGCCAGCAGCAGCAGCAGCAGCAGCAGCAGCAGCAGCAGCAGCAGGAGCAGGTGCTTTGGCAGTGGCAGTGGCAGTAGCGCAACAGCAGCAGCGGTAGGAGAAGAAGCAGTAGTAGTAGCATCAGTAGCAGTCGTAGCAGCATTGGCAGTAGCAGCAGCAGTCGCGGTCGCGGCAGTGGCAGTGGCAGTGGCAGTGACAGTGGCAGTGGCAGTGGCAGTAGTAGTACCACTGGTAGCAGTACTAGTAGTAGCAGTCGTCGTCGCGGCGGTTCTCGTGGCCAGAGTAGCAGGGGTGGTCCTAGTGGTCATGGTGGTCGTTGTAGCACAAGGAGGACGAGTAGCAGTAGCAGTCACAGCCCTGCAACAGGGGCACCTTCGTCCGGCCAGGCTTTGATCCAATCCGGCCCCGCTGTCACCAAAAGCCTTGTTGGTGCTGATACCACCACGAGACCTGGATTTCGAGCTTAGCGTAACCCTAAACCCTAATTTAGCGGTTTTGGGTTCGGTATTAAGGTTTAGCTCCCGGCACGCTGAATCTTCAAATGTCCAACGAACCGAGTCTGCGATGGGATGTACATGGATTTGCTGAGAGCCCAGATGTGAGTATGATCTGATAGCAAAAAACCTTACTAAAACCTATAAAATCCTAAAGCCCCAAATAGGAGATGCATTGAACCCCATAAAATCCTAAAACCCAAAATAGGAGATGCATTGAACCCTATAAAATCCTAAAACCCCAAATAGGAGATGCAATGAGTCGGCATAAACGCAAACAAAACTCTGGAGGGTTTAGGGTTTATATAGGGTTTTAAGTTTAGGTTTAGGGTTTTAGGTTTAGGTTTAAGGTTTGGGGTTTAGAGTTTTGACAACTCTGGGTCTCCAGTCCCTACACCCTACAATCACCATCATTCTCCAAGCGTTCAAGCAATAGTATGGTTCATGCGAACGTACTTTAGAAGCCCCAAATATCTACAAAGTAGCTGCTAGAATGGTACTTGGGCCAGAATGGTATGGGGCCTAAATCTCTAGTAAGTAGCTGCTAGAATGGTACTTGGATCCTTTGAAATACCTCACTGGCTCAAAACCCAGGGAAATAAAGTTGAAACTTTCAGAATCGGTTTAGGGTTTCGGGCAGCCAAGAAGGTTCTATTACAACTCGAGCAGCTTTTGTCGTTGCCTGACAGCTTTGTCGCCAAGCGCTCCAACCTGTGACTTGCCCAGAGACTCTACCTACAGGCTCATACCCTACCCCTTTTTTAGGGCGCCTACTTTATAAGATAACAGATCCTAACCATAAAACTAGGTATCCTAAAAAAGAAGTAGGGTATGAGCCTCCAGCTAAGTCTCTTAATTTAAGGAATACCTGGGGCTTCCTTAAAGGGATCCTTAAAGGGATCTATAGGGCCTATAGGGTTAAGGGATATTGGAGTCTCTGGGTACAGCTCTCGAAGTGCTTGTACAGGCTTTCATAGATTCCACGCCCAGGACTACAACCTGGCCTACGTACTTGCAGGGTCGGGAGAGATAGTAAGTAGCTATTCTATAGAGTTATAAGTACCATAGCCGCAGTTAGGATCCCTTTTGGGCTACTACTTGGAGGTCATGCTTAGTTATGTGGTGTTTTAAGCAGGATAGCTATAGTTATACCCATATTAGGGGACATATAACTCCACTGAGAACTACCCATGACTCTCCACGTAAGGTTCCAGAAGCGCTTTCTCAGAAATTCTCTGAAAGGCTTCTTAGTGTGCTGTGTAGCGTGCCCCTGTTGCTCTGGTGCTCAGGGCCTATACTAGTACCCAGAGACTCCAGTATCCAATATCCCTTAGTTAATTAAGGACTAGAGTTTTATAGGATATTCCGGCATTCCTTTATTAAGGGATATTGGAGTCTCTGGGTATAGAGAGGCTTCAGTCCATCGAAACCTTGAAATTACCCAGGAAATTTGTACCTGGGGCGTGAACCCATGCGTGTCTTTCATTGGTGTCCAAACTCTGCATCGAAGCTCGCATTGCAAAAATCGAGGGCAGTCAGCGACCGGGATCTTAAGCATTGCTTGCGCAGCAAAACCAATCGCTATATGAGGATCTCACGAATCCCATGCCGGAGCCACAGTAACTTCTTAAGATTGTGGCGGCTTCTGGAGAATTTGCATGTAAGTCAGGGCTTCGCGCTTATCGTCCCTCTTGGAGCTTGGAACATCGATTGCGCCTGGAACCTGAAACTGCAGTAGATGATGTCTGTTATTTACATGAAACACACAAGAACAGCTTCAACCCATGTGACCATGGGAGAAGAAACACTGATTGTAGTACGCCTAGACTTTACACAGCAGTTGCAGTGTAACATTACTTGAACCCGCAGGCTCACCCGGACCAAAAATTACCCATCGTCAGCCTGCACCATCCGCGGTTGCTCCATGTGCGCTGGCTGATTGTGTGGTGGGTGTCGGAGTGCTTGATGGCGGGAGCTAAAACCAAAGTAAAATCCGCGATGTCGCAATATGCGGGAATGGAATTCACCACGGCCTGTATATCTGGTGTATCCTTGCTTGGTGATGTTCCAGACGTCTGCGGGCAGCCGAAGTAATCGTACCAGAAATCCCACTCAAGGCAGCTCAGTTGATCTGTAGCACTGGGCATGGACAGCTGGAAACCGTTGATCGCCGAAATACAGTCCATCTGCATCTGCGCCTTGCCAGCAGAAAGGTTCTTCAACGCGTGTTGAAGAACGCTGAATTGCTTGAACTCGGGGTCTGGATGAGTCAGCCCAGCCCACTGATGTGAGACTACAACCACTTTCCGGGTATGCCCAGGTCTCCATTGCTGCAACCTCGGCAGTGCGAGTCAGGCTCCCGAGCAGAGCGAAAACCACATGCGACATGAACGGCAAGCCTGGAGGAAAGAGAGAGAGAGAGAGAGAGAGAGAGACGGGGGGAGACAGAGAGAGGGGGATAGAGAGAGAGAGAGAGCGAGAGATAGAGGGGTAATTAGAGAGAGAGAGAGAGAGAGAGAGAGAGAGAGAGAGAGAGAGAGAGAGAGAGAGAGAAAGAAGCTGGAAACATAAGACCAGCATGTCCGCTTATTGCTCAGCTTATTCCTCATGTAACTTGTAATGTATGTACTAGACTTTGGCGTAGTGCGTACGCACATACATGCACACTTGTACATGCACGCATGCATGCGTACATGTAGATTGGTACGTATGATACATACCCCATTCATCTATGTGTGTTTGTTATGTATATGCATATGTGTATATATGTATATATGTACACACACGCACACGTCGACCCTAAGCCTAGAACCCCACACCTTAAACCCCCTGAACAACCCGTCTACATCATCCTTCGTTATCAAGAAAACCCTCCATATTGAGACAGCCAGACACCTGCCAAGTCGCGATGATCTGGGGTTAGATGGTTTAGAGATTAGGATTTCGGGACTCAGGGTGCTGGGGTAGGATTGTAGATGATTATGGGTTTTCGGACATGTAAGTTTCATGTTTTGCGGCTTCCCAACTCGATGCATCCTCAAAAAAGCCGACCCAAGAACGATGTCCCCGAGATGGCTGAGGCTTGGCTCGGTTTGGAACCCGAGCGCTCTGAAACTTGCGTGCAGTGCACAACTTTGGTTCCAAACTCACAGTCTGAAATCTGAAAAGCCTAGGTTGGCTAAGTAGCTCCGTGCCCGACATGCAAGCAGCATGCAATATGTTGTACACTTTAAGATGGGGCTGTAAAGCAAAGACAGCACAGGAGGGACAGAGAGAGAGAGAGAGGGAGAGAGAGAGAGAGAGAGAGAAGAAAAAAGAGAAAGAGAGAGAGAGAGAGAGAGAGAGAGAGACGGAGAGAGGCAGAGAGAGTGTTTGTGTGTATGTCTGTGTGTCCGTGTGCGTGTCTGTGTCTTAGGGCCCGTCATGCTGCGACTGCCTCCAGATGTACATGCATATAGACAGAATGCATCTGCATGTCTGTGCGTACTTGCAGATGCTGTCAAGTCCAAAGCAGCTTTCCAAGTTTCAGCAGCTCCTCGTGACAGGGCAATGGATCCTGCAGGCATATACCGCTTTCTGAGAGCCGGGTTCTGACCACTTCAAGATGAACACAGCTTGTTTAGACATAGCAAACCTGAGACCGGAGAACGGCACAAGTGAGGCTTCGAAGGGGATGGGGATTCCACCGCAATTGCATCCACATACATGAGATCCATACAGATTGACTGGCAGACAGACAGACAAATAGACGGACAGACAGGCAGACTAACGCTCACGCAAGCACATATCAATGGACGTACACATATATGCAGATGGATAACATACCCACATATATATATATATATATATATATATGTGTGTGTAAGTCTATATCTATGTTTATGTGTATGTTTATATAGATTTACTCACTGATGTATATATGTGTATAACAGCATATTGAATATACACATATGTAAGTATGCATGTACTGCTGATATAGAATGCCGCCTGCATATGCATGCAACCACATGGCTGCATACGGCAGCTCCCAACTCATGAGGTAGTAGACCCGAGCCGACCCTATCGATCTTACCCTAGGGCCTGGATCAGATGGCACCTGAGCTTAACATCAAAACACTGCCTCTCCTACTGTGCATTTAAATCGAGGTCCCAATGTGATCACATGTGAACGAAAACCTACATTGTCTCCGGGGCTTCACGCTGCTGAAATGAAACACTGGGCAATTACATACCGTTGACACATGCGCAAGGGCCAATGTGCAAGCGCCAATGTAGACGTGCAGATGCATTACGTGACCAATCTCATCTTCGGTGGCTTCATTGCCAAAGGGCGTGGATCCTGTGCGGTGCTGGTTTAAGTATGAGGGCTTAGGCCCTCAATTCTCAACCCAGAAACCTGTAACAACCCCAAACCCTTTTGCAGCGGGCTTGCCTCCACCCCCAACCCTCAACCCTGAAACCTTAAACCTTCAAATGTGAGAGCACTGGATGGCCGGGATCCAAGGGTCTCCTCAAGTGAAAGAAGGTCATGACCGCGGATGAGCCACCTTAGAGTTTAGGGTTAAGGGTTTCCCAAATAGTATAGGTATTTATTTCGCCCCCTGATATAGAACCCTATTATTGTAGATCCATAGACCCCTTTAAGGATTTCTTTATATAAAATAATTACGATATAGTATAGGTAGTTACTAGGGCCCCTATATTCTTGGAGCGGAAAGCGAACCCACATCCTCGTCACCCGAAGCTCTCAACACTTGGATGCCCGGCTATTTGCGCCCATACCCGTTACTATGCGTATATACCTCTTTAGGTTTTAGGGTTTAGGGTTGTCTATAGATAGAAAGATCGACAGATATCAGTCGGAGCTCGTGGCAATCAAGAGCGTACATCCGGGGAAATGAGTCGATCTATCTGGTGTGTTGGGCTTAGGGTTCAAATCATAGCCCGTAGCATGTCCGAAACACTGAAACCTGAAGTGTGAGATCAAGACCTCGCGGGTCCTGAACCCGAAAACACCGAGCCCTGAAATCTGCGAAACCCGTGCCCTAAACCCCTAAAGCCCCTAAGCCCTAAACCCCTAGACCCCCAAACCCTAAACCCTTTCGGACCCTTTGTTGTTGCCAAGCTGGTGGCATGGGGTAATCCATCCGCAGGACACCCTGGTAGCCGACCTCGGTCTCCACTTAAGGCTTCTAGGGCTCATATGGCTAGGGTTTCGGGTGGGTTCAGGGCCTATCGTGTTTTTGTGGTTTAGGGTTTGGGGTGGGTTTAGGGCCTATCGTGCTTATATGGTTTAGGGTTCGGGGTGGGTTTAGGGTTTAGAGTTTGGGGGGGTTTAGGGCTTATGGGGCTCCGATGGTGCCGGTTTGGGGTGGTGTTCCTTTAAAGGGATCTATACGGGTTCTATAAAGGGTTTCCTTTGTTTAGGCAAAGGGGTTTAGGGTTTAGGGTTTGTTCGAGGTTGCGTAGTTGTGGAATTAAGTCTGGAGGGCTATGGAAAGGGCTCTCCTAAACCCTGCGCCCTGAACACGAAATCCTCAAACCCCAAAGCCTTCACAGGACTAGAAAGTAAAAGCTTCCTGTCTGAGGAGGTCTGAACCATTCAAAAGGTTGGAGTTCACGGATCGATGGATTCACAGCCTGAGAGCAAGATGAGCTGAGATACAAACACATCTGTGTTTAGGGCTTACTACTATTCGCTTAAGAAACCCCAAAAAAATAAAAAATAATAATCCCTATATTACCCCCATAAGGAATATCTTTTTTATTTTTTGGTGGTTCTTAAGCAAATAGTAGCTTAGAGAGGGTTGATGAGGTCCAGGGTTTAGGGAGGGCGACAACATTGGGGCAACTGAGGAAGTCGTGGCTTTCCGCAGGTGCCGAGAGTCCTGTCCGTTTGAGGGGTCGCCGGCTCAACGCGAGCGGGCTGCAGCACCCGAAGCATGCACCACCCAAACCCTAAATCCTAAACTCTAAACCCTAAACCGTTTTTCTGCTTTAGCTCAAGCGGTCCTTTACTTATGGGGTTCCTTATACACAGGGATCCTCCTGTTTGGGTGGTAATTTTGAAGGGCTGAAAAACCTACGGTAATTATATTCTGGATTGGGGTTATATGGATTGGCGGTGTATGGGGTTTGGTCTGTCTGGGGGCTAAGGGCTTCGGATTCAGGGCATGCGGAAATAGCATGCCTCGAGTACTGCAAACGATTAGGCATCGAAGTGCTTGGGGCAGGGGCATTGCGCGGCATGACGATGATGATGATCAATACTTTGCTAGAATCCTTATCCTTCGTACGATTAGTATGACCATTCCTCCTCTCTTAGTCTTGTTGAGATTCTTACCCTTACTACTATTCTGATTATTCGCATTCTTATTCTTGGAATTAATTAATCTTTTGGTATGAACAGATATACATATATACATATATATATATATAGTCAAGTGCTTCGGCTCGGGGCTCAGGGATTCGCGTAAGAAAGAGTCGGTTCTTGTCAGTTTTACGGACAAACCCCTGAACCATAAACCCCCAACCCCTAAAACATAAACCCCTAAATCCCTAGACCCTCAACCCTCAACCCCTAGACCCTCAACCCCTAAACCCTAAACCCTCATTCCCAAACCCTTCAGCCGCCGTGGCGCTGGGGCATTCGATGGCATGGCTGGCTCCACTGGGTGAAGGGGGGCCATGTACAGGCATGGGCACCAGTCGCTGCAGCACCTCCTGTCTTATGCCTTACATCCTGCGAGCTGCCTCATGCAAATGTATCTCTTTCGCATTTTCCGCGAGATGTGCAGCAATAATTTGGATATATACGATTGAATCGGGTCATACGGATGGCTGTGATCGTGCTTGTCTGTAGGGTATTGGTTTTCTTTCTCCAACACCCAAAATCCACCACAACCTCATCTCCTGGCAACAAACTCCTCCACAGAGCCGCAAAGCAGCTTGGACCAAATGATAGCAATACCATGCAACGCTTCGATCCGTATCGAAATGGTAATGTAGGAACCTGATTGAGAAACCCTATACCGTATATCCCCCAAAATAGTAGGATTCATATAAGGACCCCTAATAAAGGCCCAAGGTTTCTTAACCCTTATAGAACCCTAAAAAAGGCCCAAGGTTTCTTAATCAGGTTCCTACATTATGCAGATAAGGATGGTTGAGCGAAGGATACCCCCAGAAGCAG